CCCCTCACGGCCCCTCAGGCGAGGGACGGTTTTAATTTAAGGCAATAAACGGCGTTCCTTTTCTCCTTTCAGTTCGTCGAGGTCATGTGGAGCCCCGCCGCCTCCTCCTCCCTGCTTCTCCCGGGCTTGCCCACCTTCAACCGGCTGTTGCGAAGGGAAATTCAAGTTTTTTGTCGATGGGGGGGGAAAAGGACGGGCGACGTGCTCCCCTGCCGTTTAGTAAGTAGTAAAGAAAAATACAGGAGGTACGCGAAAGCTTACCCTGTTTTAGAGGGACGTATCCTGTCTGTGTACCGACATGTGTTTGAAGAAAATTTAAGGAACAGTGAGGCTGTTGTTAAAAGGTAATAAACTGTCGTTTTCTTTTGTGTTTTGAAAACGTTGCTGCTTGCGCGACACTGTCAGAGTTACTTTAGAGGTGCTTTTAGGAACTTCTAATGTAGTAATTAAAAATCCTAGAGGTTTGAGGGGTTTTTTTGAAGTATTTTATCTAACCATTTTGAAACTCAGACTAGTTTCCTGACAGGTCTTTTCTTGGGCAGAGTGAAATTTTACAAGGATCAGCACTTAAAATTTTCAGCCTCCCCCAAAAGAGACACCTGAAGTGCCTAAACCTAGGTGCAGGCTGTATTTAAAGTAGTGCCATGTAACTATTCTTTCTAGACCTTTACAAAATCTGTTTCACGTTTGATTTTGAGCGCAAACACGTAAATGGTGACTCGTGCCTTTACAGATCCCCCCTGAAAAAGTAGGTGGCAGTTATTGCTATTAAGCCCGATTCACCAGTAAAAGCAGGGAAATACATTTTTATGTGTTGGCCCTTAAAGATCACATGGCAAAAATTCATACGCCTTTTGTTCAGAGGAGTGATACCTGAGCTGGAAGCAAAGCAATGGAAAACACACTGTGCCCTCCTGTGGTGACATTTACAACATTATTAAAAATCCTTAGCTTTTCTCTCCTGAGCTTTTTCAATCTGCAGTCTGCAGGAAGCCAAAATAAGGTAGTGGAGTCACATACAGAGTGCTGTTAAAATAGTTATGTCAGACGGTATTTTTAATTAAAGATGGTCCATCTTGGCCAAAAATATTTTACTTCAAGTAAGTGAAGAACTCGGTTTGTTTAAGACCAAAATTATCTGAGATACTGTGTTTGTTTAGAGCTTATTCAACTTGTTTTCTCTACCGGATGCTACCCTGACAATGACATTTGTCTCTTGACGATTGTGGTGACACCGCAGTAGTTACTACATTTAAAGTGTGTCTTCCGTGCTGCAGAATGTACTTTAGGCCTGTCAGAAAAACGTGTTAAGGGTAACTGAAGGGGGAAGCCATTGACTGAATTCTTCATTAGAGTACCTAGGACACGAAGGCGAATGTCCACGCTGAACCAGGACTAGCAAATTCTGGTAGCCTTATTAATAGCTGCAGGTTTGCAGGGTAACGCCGTCAGGCAGTGTCTCTGCAAGTCAGTGTGGGTCTCTGAGGGTCGGCACTCTGCTCATGGGGTCGCAGGCAGAGATTAAGTGTGATCGTATATTGTGAAATGCTGAGTGTTGGGTGTATGTGGGCAACACTCAGGGGAGGGTATAGATTTGATAGCATCTGCCAGCTGTGAATATAAGCCGCAGGTAGAATATTTGTAGATTTCACTTATTTTTCTGTCTTTGTAAGGCAATTTTGAATAACAAAACTAAAATGCTTGCTTTAAATAACAAACCTTTGCTTTTTACTGAATTTTGTAAGAAACAACGATCCAAAAATGTGACTTCATCTTCATTCCCATACCATTTATATGAAGAGTGTGCATTTAAGTACTATGTTCAGTCTGTTAAACTTGGTAAGTAAAGGTGGTTTTCATTAACTGCAACTTTGCTTTTCAAATCAGATACTCAGAATTGCTAGAGATGGTCAGCAAAGGAGGGGGAGAAAGTGCCATCGTGCGTCATACCCAGAGAAACAAGAAGCTGTTTGTTCGCGAGCGCCTGAAGTTGCTCCTTGATGATGAGCCTTTCCTTGAGCTGTCTCCGCTGGCGGGCCTCAACATGCCGTACGGTGATGTCCCCGCTGCTGGGTGCCTGACTGGTAATTGCTGGCAAATTTAATTTTAGACTTAAGAGGAAATCAGTGAAGTCCATTTGTTTCATTCCTCATGTGTTAAATATGATTCACATTAGATCTAAGGATGGATGTGGGTTAAGGGCATTGTTTTAAGCAGCCTGTGTTGGTTGGAGGTGCAGCCCAGAAGGAAGAAGGGTTTTGAACCGACACGGTCCTTCTAACAATTTGGGAGATCCTGGCTGAGGGAGTAAACGATTGTAGGCAATGTACCTTTGTTGCATTCTGTGTGTGCTGTGCACCTCTCCAGAGTAACCAGCCTTGCTCCCTGGCGGTAAGGTGTGTGTTCTTACTGGGAAAGGCAAAAGGATGCGTTGGATAAAGTTTATGGAATATTTTAGTATCTTAAGAACATGCTTCCCTAGGAAAAGTGAATATCGGTTCTGCCCAGTAGCAGCTCCCAGCATGGAAGTGTTCAACCAGTGGTTGTTCTGCAGTTTTTTTGCTGTGAAATCTGGAAGAAAACTTGAAAGAAAAAAAGTTCTTTCAGTCTTCTAGATTTAGTAATTTATTCTACTTACTAGTTACTGATTTTTGTTTCAAGAAATTTGGGATGATGTGTCAAATAAGCTGTTGCCTGTTAAAGGAAAGGGGACCAAGTTACTGTGAGGCACAGGAGCTGTGACATTTATTTTGTAATATTTTTCAAATTAGAGACGAATCTTTTCATTGCATTTTGAAGAGGGGTTCCGGTTTAAAAAACAGCGAGAAGAATAGCGCCTGGAATCCTATCTTGTGTCACAGATTGTTACGTTTCTCTGGTTTATATGGGTACTTTTTAGTTGCCTTCTCTGTTATTGCCGGAGTTGGAAGTTAAATTGTTTGATTTTTTCTGTCTTGCATTGTTACTGGGAGTAAGTGTGTTTATTTTAAGTCCTGTCTTCTGTCATTTAGATTTTATTTTATTTTAAATGTCGTGAGCTTTCAGCATGTTACTGTAGAGAAGAGCTATAGATTTCCTCCTTATGTGGTATTTGCAACTTAATTTGCAGGTTCTTGATACAGTATTACTGAAAGGATGTCCTAGCTGCGATTTGGCCCCTTGGTTTGTCTGTGGTTACTTTAGAGAGTCCTGATAAAGTATCTGTGGTACCACTGACAGGAATTGGCAAAATCTGTGGCGTCTGGTGCGTCGTGATGGCGAATGATGCGACTGTGAAAGGAGGAACGATTTATCCGATTGGAGTGAAGAAACAATTAAGAGCTCAAGAAATCGCCATGCAGAACAGACTGTTATCTGTTTACCTCGTTGACAGCGGGGGAGCGTTCCTACCATTACAGGTAATATTGGGACCCCTTCCTAAAAGAAAACACCTCTGTTTGTCTTATTCGTATTAAATTTTAGCAATAAACCTCGGATTTATGTAGTCTTTTTTTTTTGTGAGTTTTAACTTGAATTGAGTTTTGCCCACAGATCAGAGTCCAGGAGATTCTTTGGTTATTTAAAGCAGTACTCATCACTTTTGCTAATCTTGCATCTGGCATCTAATCAAAGTTGAGAAACCTGAATTCGTCAGCTGAGGCTGGGGAGAGTTCTGACCAAGCATGGGTCAATGTGCTGAAATGCTTTCGTGTCTTTAATTAATTAGTACATTGTTTATGCTTTCTATTTTCAACTTCAGCATCTGTAAAATTACTCTGCATTTTATCATAATGCGTGTGATAGTAGCGCAGTAACCTTCGTGGCCTTTAAAAATGCAGTTTTTGAAATTCCCACTGCAAAAAAAGAATTGGCAGACATTGCTGTTCCAATGTACAGGGGTTGTATTACTGCAGAGACTATAGATCTCTCTCCAGAGTGAAAGTGAAACACATACAGAGAGTTGTTACCTGATTTAAGGAATTGTATCAAATCCTACGTGAAAAGGGAAACCATGCTGAAGTCATTTCATGGATAAAGTATGAACATGAGCTGATTTCTCTTCTCCATGTTTAGGGTCTCACTTTGCATAGAATGAATTGGTTTCACAAAAAATTCCGAAACTTACCTCTGCTTTTGAAACAGCTGGGTACTTTTGCAGAATTGCACGATGTGCAAGGGGTATAAATATCGTAGCAAATGCTGTATATGAAAGTTTTGGATATGATTGTTAGTGGCGACCTTCCCAGAATCGGTTACAATGCGTTTGTGAATGAGTGAAGAGGAAGCGTTGACTTTTGTGGTTAATACTGAAACTTAGTTTGTCTTTTCTCTGTAACGTCAGTCAGAGCTCTTTCCTGACAAGTTGCACGGTGGCAGAGTTTTCTACAACGAAGCGATAATGTCTGCCATGAGAATTCCTCAGGTACAGTGTCATTTGGAGAACAAGTAAGTGTAGCATACGTGATCAGTAGAGCTCTGAAAAAAGTTTCATTCTGATGTGGATTCTAGGAACAGCTTGCAAACAGCAAAAAAAATAAAATTCCTAAAGCTCACGTTTTCAATTTGTGAAGATGAGAGATTCAAACAGTATCTCGTGTAACAATGTTTATTGACCGATCGTGATGGAAAAGCATTTCAGAGTGAACACTGAACTCTTTCAAAACCAGGTCGTTCATGCTGGTATCTAGATCTCTAGCTTATTGTTCCCGGAGCTGCAATTTAGTCTCGAGTGTTTCTGAGGTAAACATAATGGTTTTGCCTTTCTGTTGTCCTCTGCGCAGCGTCTTGCTGTAGTTTGGTTTCTGTGCCCTTCAGGTGGCAGTGGTGTGCGGCTCCTGTGTGGCTGGAGGTGCCTACGTTCCCACCATGGCCGAAGAAGCTGTGATCATAGACAAAATTGGTACGCTGTTCCTTGGCGGCCCACCTCTGGTAAAAGCTGCTACGGGAGAATATGTCTCTGCCGAGGACCTGGGAGGAGCTAAGCTTCACTCTGAGTACGTGAAATAGGTCTCAAAAATAGCAGGATGTTCAGCACATTTAGGTTGAAAGAAACTGACTTTCTGTCTTAAGTTGATGTAACTGGAGCTACAGGATACAGTATAGTCCTCTAGGACTAAAAAATATGCAGTGAAAAAACCCCAAACCAGTAGAAATAGTATATGAATTATTACAAAGGTTGGCCGTATTCAGTTATATGTGCGAGAGTATCATGGGGCTAGATACAACTGTGTGAAATGAAAAAAGTAACGTGGCATTGTGATTTCGGCTTTATTACTGTCCGTGGGAGCTTTCCACTTCCACTGTGCGTCTGACAGACATCTTGCAGACGTAAGAAATTCTTATTTCTCCTTCCCTGAACTGATGAGTGGAGAGCTGGTATGACTTCTTTCCATTGTCTTGTCGGCTTCTGAAGACATGAGGCTCACTCACTGCCGAAGAGGAGAATCTGAAGCAAAGAAGAAAAATGGAAAGCCAGCTCGCCTCTGCTCTTAGCGAGGCCTTCCTAGCAGGAACTGAGCAAATAGAGAAATACATATAAACTGGATAGTAGCTATCTAACTAGTTCTTTAACGCTGTTTTTCCATGTCAGAGATTTCTGTAGTTCTCAGAATAGTTATTCCCTTCTGGCTAGGGGAAGAGGGTGGCTGTGCTGCTTTGTTCCTTGCATTCTGCGCTCTGTGTGTGGTCACTGGATTCCATACCTTTGTCACAAAACCAAATGCTAGCGTGACAGTCAGCCAGCTGTATTACATGTAGCAAGTTATTGTCTTTATGTCTGGGCTGGAAGTGCTTATTTTGGAACAATTTTTAAAGTTTGTTTTCCCTTTATTGCATTGTTTGCAACATCATCGTTATGAACATAAATTCAAAGGTCCTTACTGCAGGTAAACACAAAAGTCACAGGGGAGAACTTCCTGTGAGTTTGTTTTGGAGTTGGATTGTACAGAAATTCCGCTGACCTCCTGCTTCCAACTCATTCATCCGAGCACAAAATCACACAATATTTTCAGGAAGTTTGGAGGGCCACTGTACGGGTTAAGGTTTTTTCCTTTACTTTGTTTTTTCTAACAGGATTATGATTTCATTAATTCAATACTAAATCAACGTTGCTCTCTTTCCTAGAGTCAGTGGCTGCACTGACCATTTTGCAGCTTCAGAAAAGGAAGCCTACGAATGCATTCGAAATGTTATCTCTACGTTAAATTATGATCCACTGCCGGAGGACGTCACAGAGCCTGATGCTCCTCTGTATAGTTCTCATGAGCTCTTGGGACTGGCACCGCATGATTATCGATACACTCTTCCTGTAAAACTGGTAAGGTGACATATACTATATTCTTTTTCATTTCATTCTACTCTGTCTAGTATCTCTAGATTTCCAGGCAGCAGGCTGCTCTCTCTTGGACAATCCTGAAGTACCTGAGATACTTGGAATTCCAAAGGGTCTCTTCCACCCTGAATGTTTCTATGCTTCTGTGATTCTATAATTATTACCTAACCAGTTGCCACACCGTCTTGAAGCTGCAGCAAAGCAGAATGATGGCAGTTTGGTAGGATTGTAGGAAATATTTAAAGATGAAAACACAAGCTTTTTTAAAAAAACAAGCTATACGCTGCTGAGCATTTCCTCCGCACACAAAGTACAGCTGCTTGCCCTGTTTGGTTTTTTACAACTTTTTTATGCACTTAAACATCTGTGCTCTGTAACACTGAAATAATTTTGGAGTTGAACTTCGGCTCAAAATATGTGGCTGGTCATCAAATGCAAACACGAATTTGATGTTCTGTGTATAGTGAAGTGTGAGCTCTGAAACGGCTTCTGCGCTCTTTATGGTTGACTTCCTGCATTATCCATGTCTCGCTAACTATTTGACCAGAATGTATCTTTTATAGAGGAACTATCGTATTTTCACCTAAATTTCTGTAGTAAATACTATATTTCTTTACAGATTCTAAGCCGGCTGATGGATGGAAGCAGATTCCAGGAATTCAAAGCTAATTACGGAACAACGTTAGTAACAGGCTTTGGCCATGTGGAAGGGTAAGGCTGTTAACATTACACTATCAAAATGTACAGACATATTTATCTAAATAGCTTTCATGTCATCATCAGATTTTACAGAATTCCAGTAACAATATTTATGAAATTCTGTGTCGGTCAAAAATGAATAATCAAATGCTTCTAGAAAGTCTGATCTTCTCTCCCTGAGCTCTGAGTTCACCATGTCTCAGGCCAATAGCAGTGGAGAGCGAATGGTTTTTCATGACTTTGTGAAATGCTTTGTTTATTCCCAAAACCTACTAGCCAGACAGTTCAAGAGCTGAAGTCTCAGCAGATTCCTTAAGAAATAGGAAACAACACCCTTTAAAGTGTTTTCCTTCCCAAACTAAGTTGAAAGCTATAATCCCTTCTCCCATGCAATGGAAGTGGGATAATACCCTTACAGTAAAACCTTGCATAATTCAGATCAGACTGTAGTATTAACATATCCACAAAGCATACAACATTCCAGTCAAATCATATGAGGTAGGGGAAAAAAGGTAGTAAAACATTTTTCAGCCTCTCTAGGTCAAGAGCATAAACTTTTCGGAGTGACTGTTAGGTCATGCGTTACTGGCGTTCAAGAGAGCTGAGCCCCAGTGCCTTGTATCTTGTCTGGCAGCATAAACTCTGACAGGTCACGTGTAGCTTTCCCTGCCTCTGAGTATTAAACCCTGTGAATACTTCCGTGCTTTGTGTAAGTAAAGCCATAAGGCTTCTGGTTTGGTAGGTGCATGTGGTCCTTGAGTGAAATGACGTGTGTGCGTGCGTGCGTCCTTTTACATTCTGAATTTCCCTAGTGGGCAGCCCAATGTGTGCACGTAGGGATATTTACGTCCCAATCCTTTGGAACATTATGAGCTGCAGTTTTGTAATCCCTGAAGGGAAAACGTTTGTGCTTCTGTTTCATAGGCACTTGGTGGGGATCGTGGCTAGCAACGGGGAGCTGTCTCATGACGCTTCTCTCAAGGGCTGCCACTTCGTGCAGCTGTGCAGCCAGCGGAGCATTCCCCTCCTCTTCTTGCAAAATACTGCTCCACACACAGCAGAGCCCACAAGCATCTCACAGGTATGGCCTTTCTGAGATCAGCATGTTTAATTTGAGCAATTCGTAGTTCTTGGTTTGTTTAAGATAACATTTTGGAAATTGTCATTGGGAAATTTTCTTTAAGCCACTCGCGATGGGTTACACCAAAAACGTTCGTATTTGCTTTGTTCTAAAATCTTTCCTTGAGCATTCACACTTTATTCCAATTTTAAGCAGGCCTGTGTGCTTATCTAAAATGCTGCTTGTCTGGCTGGCAATGCAAGCTGTAAAACTTGCAGTTTATAGTGCTTTTTGTGTCGAGGTACAGCCTATTGGTCCTTCTGTGTGCCATGGAAGAGTAAATTCTCCTTTAGAAAAGCAAAGTAAAGCCCACATTAGATTCTCTGACATGTTTCTGTTGCCCTGTTCCTCCCAACTGCTGCTGGCACTTATGGCAAAGCCTTACGTAATTGTGTCATGCCCGAGCTTTGCTTGTACCTGGGACAGCTGGGGTTGCTCAGTGTAATTGTTTTGCTGATTTATGTTGCAAAATAGGTGCATGATGGGCTGTGGTAGTAAGTGATGCTGTCTTACTGTTGTGGAAGAAGTGATTGTAGAGAATTGTAAAGAAATAAACGCTCCGAGTTCGGTGGGAGGGGAGTGAATCAAGACGATAGACTTAAAGGGTTTGAAATCTTTATTTTTCGTTTCAGGCAGAGGCTCATTCCAACAGACTAAAAGCCCAGGCCTCCATGATGGCCGCTGTTGCTTGCGCTGCTGTTCCCAAAATAACCATTGTCATTGGTGGCAGCTACGGGAGTGAGAGTTACGTGATGGTACGGGGGGCATGAATCCGGGGGGGTTTGGTGACAGGCTTCTTACAGTGGGCCAGGCTTTCACGGCGCGTTCTAAAACACAGTCGGCTGTCCTTACAGACATGTAACTCAGCCTGTTATTTTAACTGCTTCTAAAAGTAAGAAATTCGTTATGAGATGTGCGATTACCGAAACTTCCATCTGCATCTAAGAACCTAGAGCCAATTCTAAAAAACTAATTCTAAAAGTTCCAAAAAGATTGATCTGAAAACGTCCCTCCTTACAAGCCGGTCCCACTTTTTTCTCAGCACATTTTCAGCCATCGGCAAGCACGTCTCCTTTAGTAATGTTACTGTGTGTGCTCTTCATGCTGCAAGTAAGCGCCGCAGAGCTCTGTGTTTGCTCGGAATTTAACTTGTGAGTGCTTGGAGGAAAAGTGAAGTAATAAAATAGCAATACTGAAGGCCACAGGGGTTGTGATGATTGCTCTTGTCCTGATGCAGGAGCCGTAGCTGTGACAGTAAAGGGGCTGTATCAGTAATGCTTTACAAATTAAGTTGTATTACATTCTGCCCTGGGCTTGATTGTGTCATCCTACAGCCACCTTTTTGTGATTAATTGCAATGAATTTGCGCTGTGTTTTGTTTTTATTAATTTTTTTTTGTAGTGTGGGAGATCATTCAGTCCAAACTTTCTGTTCTTGTGGCCTAACGCGAGAGTTGCTCTTGTGGATTCGAGACATTTCTCCCTAGTCCCACGAGCTGGGGACAGTGACTGTGCAGGAGATGAATCAGAGCTAAAACATCTGAAAGAAAAGTAAGGACACCAAGTATGAACTAGTTACACTGGGATTGAATTTATTGAATTGCCTATTTCTGTTCGTCTCACAGATCAGCACATCCCAAACAAGTAAAGCAAATCTGAATGTACTGAGAAGTAATTTAAATTTCCCTGTGGTTCTAGGGCTGCTCTTAGGATATTCTTGAGGAAACATAAATGTTTGACTTAAACCCACAAAAAACAAACCATACAACCCCAAATCAAGATATTCTGCTGTATATTAACCAGCGGTGATTGCCTGACTGTGGAGGACTGTGCTGCAGAGCGATCAGATGTGTTATGTGCTGAATTCTAATGAATTTTAACAGCAGTGCTGCACCTTCACTGCAGATGGAAGTATTTGCCTTTTTCATCTGTAATTCTATCTTACTGGCCTGATGGATTTTATTGCATTTTTGTCCATTTAAGCTTGTTTAACGCTCTGTCTTCTCCAGGCTAGAGGAAGAAAGCAGCGCATTTTACTCCTCTGCCAGACTCTGGGATGACGGTGTCATTTTACCTCAGAATACTCGAAAGGTAGGTTTGGCTTTTTACTTAACAGTACATTTTATTCTCGGATCTCAAAAGGATCTTGTGCTAAACCCAGTGACTCGCTCAAGGTCAGTGAAGTGCTGATTCCCAGAACTGGGTTTCCCACTTCTCACTCCATTTGGAATTTAATTTTGTAATTCTTGTCTCTTCTCTTCCCCATTAAGTCTATTAAAAAAAAAAATCTGTTGAATTCTCACAGCATTTTCTCACTGAACCTCTTAATTAACTTTTTACCATTTGATTCTGTATGCCAATCCTTTCTTTTTTGGTCTTGTTTATTTACCCATATCTTAATTATCTTAAGTTCAGGCTCTTCACCATTTACATCGTTTCAGTTCTTATGTCCAAGGATATTTCTTTTTGCACCCTTCTCTTTGTGCTTCTAACCTGCTGCTTATGCCTGGGATGCCC